TGGAGGATATTCTTATGTCCCATAAGTTATAGTTGTGTCTGAGAGCTCACAAAAGATGTGTCATTCTTGGGTACTTCTTTAAAGTTAATTAAGTCTCTAAAAAAATTGAAATTAACTTCAAGATGCAACGACTTTGAACATCCCTTATCTTGACTGTTGAGGAACAGGTTTTTTTTGGTGTGCAAATTCTTGAACTCTTTACTTAGTATAGAGTTGGTCTTCTGTGTATAAAGTTAATTGAAAATGGGTCTTAGTGGAGAATGGGGCTGGGAATGGGAGAGGGAGGAGGAGAAGGGGTGGGAGTGTGGGTGGAAGAGCGGGTATAGTCGGAAGCATCACTGTATTCTTAAAGTTGTACTTATGAAATGCATGAGGTTTGTATTCCTTAAATAAAAAGGTTTCTCTGGGGGAAAAAAAAAAGAAAGAAGCTAGCAAAGATTTTACCCAGAGTTTCAGAGAGGCCATGCCTTTGCCAACATCTTAACTTTGGACTTCTATCCTCTAGAACAGGGAGTGAATAACTATCCTGTTTAAGTCACCCAGGTTGTGATGCTTGGTGCTGCTCACCCTGGGAATCTAGAACACCACTGGCCACAGCTGAATGCATGTCTGTATGATTATGCTTCACCATACCAAGGCCTGCCAGGAGGCACAGCTACACCCTTTGAGCCTCAGCAGTGCCAGCACAACCCAGATGTGCCCTGAGTCTGACCTAGAGCTTCATTCCTAAGACCCAGTGCCCACTTGAGTCTCTCCCTGGTCCTAGAGCCTTCATTTCTTCCCCAAGATCTACTGGATGCCCTGGGCCCCACTTCTAAGAGCTGGCTGTACTCTGATTCCCCTGAGCCTCCCAAGTGGTTTCTTTTTCTTTTTTTAAGATTTATTTATTTATTTGAAGGCAAAGTTGTTACAGAGAAGCAGAGAGAGAGAGAGAGAGAGAGAGATTTCACCCACTGGTTCACCCCCCAGAGGGCCACAACAGCTGGAGCTATGCTGATCTGAAGCCGGGAGCCAGGAGCTTCTTCCAGGTTTCCCACATGGGTGCAGGGGCCCGAGGACTTGGGCCATCTTCTACTACTTTCCCAAGCCATAGCAGAGAGCTGGATCGGAAGTGGAGCAGCCGGGAATTGAACTGGTACCCATATGGGATGCAGGCACTGCAGGTGGTGGCTTTACCCATTACACTACAGCACCAGCCCTCTTGCCCCAACCTATTATTTTTTACACAAAAGTCAAAATGAGTTTTTAAAAATTCAGATAAGGCTGGCGCTGCGGCTCAATAGGCTAATCCTTCACCTGTGGCTCCAGAACACCGGGTTCTAGTCCCAGTTGGGGCGCTGGATTCTGTCCCAGTTGCTCCTCTTCCAGTCCAGCTCTCTGCTGTGGCCCGGGAGTGCAGTGGAGGATGGCCCAAGTGCTTGGGCCCTGCACCCGCATGGGAGACCAAGAGAAGCACCTGGCTTCTGGCTTCGGATCAGCACGGTGCTCCGGCCACAGCGGCCATTAGGGGGTGAACCAACGGAAAACGGAAGACCTTTCTCTCTCTTTCTCTTTCTCTCTCTCTCTCACTGTCCACTCTGTCTGTCAAAAAAAAAAAAAAAATTCAGATAAGATCATGTCATTTATTCTCAAAAAATATTTTAGTGGTTTCCCCTTGCTCTTTGGATCTCATTCTTAGTCCATATCTATGGCAAGATACTCTCTGCTCTGGCTTTTTCTCCTGCCTCGTTTGGCACCATGTCCATCTCATCTATTCTCTTTGCACATTTTCCTTCTTTTGCAACATTGAATAAGTCTATTAGTCAGATTTCCATTACTACAGGAATACCTAAGAAGTTATTTAGGACAGAGCAAGGTTTATTTTGCTCATGGTTTTGGAGGCTCACAGTCCAAGATCAAGTGAGCCCCATGGTTCACCATCTGGTGAGGCTGAAAGATGGTACTGGAGAGCCTTGTGGAGGGAGGACCACATGGTGAGTCAGGAAACAGAGACAGCAGCTACGCCCAACTCAGACTTTTGACCCTGAGAATGACCTTCCAAGGGTAGTGCTCCCAGTGACCTAAACGGGTCTCACTTGGCCCACTTGCTAAACACAACAATTAGATAAATTTCTACCTGCCCGTCACCATCAACACAGGACTCTGGACTTTCAACATCTGCATGAAGTTGGGACCCATATCCTTTTCAAACAATAGCAATGCATCAGACTACTTTCTACCAAGGCCTTTGTGCGTGCTCGTTGTTCTAATAATGTTCTTCCTCCTTTACCCGCTTCTGACTTCCAGTTTCTGACCTACAACTTCTGCCTTCTCCACAGGCAACCCATCTCCTGGAGCTCAGCCTAAATGCCACTCCCTCAGCAATTATTTCAAGCTCCCAGACCCAGCTAGGGTTCACTATTAAGTACTCCTGAAGCCCATTCTGCCTTGTCCTCACAGCATTTATTATATGAGGAATTAATTCATAGTTTCTGAGATTATTTAATCATAATCTCTCTTCCTTGCTAGATCATAAACTCCAAGAGGATAGGAACCAGATTTATTTTTTTCATCTCTTCACTCCCAGCCCTCAAAACAATGCCTGATACGTAGTATTTTCTCTCAAAATATTTACTGAATAAAAGCATGAGTTTGGGACTTCTCTTAACCTTCCCAGTCCTAGTAGGGATGTCGCTCCATCTTACCATTGGTAGTCCCTCCCTCCCCCAAGGTGGGCTAACGACTCCCTAACTCCACCCTGGTGACTGGACCCTGTGACTTACTCTCACAATGGCCCATACTGCCTACCTTCTCACTGCTCCTGGATGTGCCCCTGGTCTCCGCCTGCCAGGATACACCCTGCACTCCATCTCCAGGGCTCTGGTACTGAAGTCAGGCCTTCCTCATGCTGCAGAGTACCTGTGGGGCTGGTAGCATGCATTTCTTTGAGCACTTGCTTTGGGACCTCCACGTCCATTCCAGGTCTCACTCCCCTGAGCTACCCTACCCCAAGTGCATTGGAGACAATGGGAGGATTTGAGGAGCTCATGAGGAGACCCAGGGCTGACTTGGGAGCACTACCATGAGCTGTGTTTCTTGGAAAATCCAATGTGGGCCTCCATTCAGGCTGAATAAGCACAATACAAGGGTGGAAATCTTTGTGAACATTTGCCATTGGAATAAATAGCTATTTTTATTAAGCTGGAAACTATTGATTGATGAATAGAGAGCAAGTCCAAATCTCATTATAATAAAGGAAGTAAAACATAGAAAAAGGAAGGAAAAACCTGAGGATCTCTTTCAATGGGGTATTGTGCTTGCTGGAATAGAAACTAATTTTATCTGTATCACTCAATAAGTATCACACACAGTGGAAGCAAAAATAACATTAGTGTTGAGGCAATTTGAGACACCACCCATAATCCTGTAGCAACATGAAACAAGCATTGAGCAGGTTACCCATCACAATTTCATTTCACAACCCCCCATGGAGCTGGGTGGGAAGGCCCTGCTGTTTCCATAAAATGTTCGAATCACAATTGATTTTGTCTCCAATAGATCCACTGCCTGGCACTGGGGACTTTCCCGAACAGTTGTTTCTCTGAGGCTTTGTGCTTTCAGTTACTAGAGGGTGGACCACGTTATTAACCCCCTGGACTTGGCCAGGCAGCCGCAATTCTTTGAGCTTCAGTTTCTTTGTTTGTATTTGTAACTCTGGAAGATTATCTGCATGGCTGTCTCCGGATCTCCTCCTGTTTTTGTCCTGGGAAGCCTCTTGAAGAAGTGTGCTTGGGACAGCAGATGAGCATTTGTTGACAAGGGGTTTGAGAACTGCCAGAAAGATACTAGTTGATTCTCCCTTAGAAATGAATATGAACTTGGGGCATGGGAAGAGAACAAAGCAGAGAGGGGAAAAAGTTGGTGGCTTTCCAAACAGGGTAAGAAGATCCCCCATTTTAACAGGGAGATCTGATGTCCAGTTCAAAGTGGTCTGTATTGTGCTTTTATATAAATGACTCACTCCTCTGTGTCTCTAAAGCTTTTTTTTTTTTTTTTTTTTTTTTTTTTTTTACAAGCAGAGTGGACAGTGAGAGAGAGAGAGACAGAGAGAAAGGTCTTCCTTTGCCGTTGGTTCACCCTCCAATGGCCGCCACGGCCGGCGCACCACGCTGATCCGAAGCCAGGAACCAGGTGCTTCTCCTGGTCTCCCATGGGGTGCAGGGCCCAAGTACTTGGGCCATCCTCCACTGCACTCCCTGGCCACAGCAGAGAGCTGGCCTGGAAGAAGGGCAACCGGGACAGAATCCGGCGCCCCGACCGGGACTAGAACCCGGTGTGCCGGCACTGCAGGCAGAAGATTAGCCTATTGAACTGCGGCACCGGCTTGTGTCTCTAAATCTTCAACACAGTCTGACAAATGTCGTGCATGTGTGTGTGTGTGTGTGTGTGTGTGTTTAGAATACACGCAACAGTTAAGTTGCCCCTCTGGGTCAATTCTAGGGTGAAGACATTGAAACAACAATGAATCAGAATGGAGACCAAGAATTTGGAAGTGACAGGAAGTCACATGGAGTCAGGGGGGAGACTGTGAAGACATTAGTCCCCTGGAATTGACAGAAAGCTTGGAAGGAATGACTTTTCTGGGGACATTGGGGGAGCATTTTAACACACCCAATTCTTTCTCAGGGAGATGGAAGATGGGAGTACACTTGGGTCACAGGCAAAATGAGGAAAATACACATAATAGAGAAACAGAAATCGCTGTGAACACTTACCATTGGAATAGCTATCTTGATTATTGCTGGAAATTGCCCTGTCCTGATTAGTTTATGTGGTTGTCTTAGGTTGAGAGGAGCCATCAGATGGATAATATATGTGAAATGCTTTTGCAATGTCAACTGTTGTTGTCACTGTTTTAGGGGGCTTACAGCCCTCTCTGCTGTGTCCCCAGACTTTGTGACCTAGTTTTGTATCTGGAAAGCATTACACAAAGGTTATTATTCATTCTTATTGGTTCTTAGAGATCAAGAAACAGCTGATGGGACAACATCTTTCTGAGCATGCTTTGGTAATTGCTAGAATAAATGCAAATCTGAGAAGCTTGGCAGAAGTCTGAAGAGATTGAGCAATTTCCTGCTTTACAAGGAAGAAATTAAAATATGACATTAAACAAATGAAAAAATCAGTGATCAATGGGAAGCAATTCAGATCCTTTTCTAGATGACAGAGAGTGATGGGACCCAAAAGAGAGGCATATAAAGGAAGTTCTCCAGGTAAGGAGTAGAGGCAAAAGCAAAAGAGATCATCTCTACTTTACCTAAGGTTACAGGGACCTGAAAACAATTAAGCAGATTGTATAAAGGTTAAGTTGTCTGATAAAAATGATAAAATCCAGTGGAAAGCCTGGAGAAATTTGTCGGATAAGTTAAATGCCAGACAAAAATAAAGAGGCTGCTCTTGGGGCATTGGACTGAAGCAGTGATGGCCAGCATCCCTAGAATGGAAGACACCAACTCCATGGAGCTGGCAGGCTGTGTCTGCGAGATTAGATGATCACTAAGATGTGAAATGGGAAAGACTCACTGGGCTGTTGACCTGTCTGGCTGTACCTATCACATTTTCATCCAAACAGACTCTCCTTTCCATTTCATTTGGCCTCTGGGAGGAGAAGGAATGGAGTCAGAGTGCTTGGGTAGAGGTGAAAGCACAGGAACTCTACAGCTAGAAAGCATAGTGCTCAGAAGGGCAGTCAGGGCTGGTGTAGGGTTGGGAGTTTTTCCAGCACTGATTCGTTGTGGACATCATTCAGAAGGCAGGAAGTCCAGGAATGTAGATGTGCCACGTGGACTCTGGTGTCATTGTTTGATTCTGTTATCAAGATAATGCTAACCTCACAGGATAAATTGGAAGTGTTTCCTTTTTGTACTGGTTTGTATTGCTACTATAACAAATGAGCACAAATTTTGTGGCTTACAGTGACAAAGGTCATATTAATTTTTATGTCTTTTAGGTAGCAGTGGGCCACTGTGGTGTGTGCTTGAAGGAGCTGACAGAGTGAGATGCTAGAGAGCAGCCCATGTGGCAGGTGGAACCTGCAGCTCTGCCACTGTCTTCCACCATGATCTTGGGTAAATAATCTGCCCCTTCCAAGCTTCTGGTTCCTCATCAGAAGAATAAGTTTAACCAGATCTCCCTTACTGCCTCAAATAGGCTACCATACTTATCAGTGCTTTGGCATGGTTAGGCTTGGAACACAGGTGAAGTATATGATGTGATTTTAGGTGGAATAATGATATATTTGTTTTTGGAAGACTTCCAGTCCTCTTTGAGGGTCACTGCTTCCTTTTATATGAGTTCCCTCTGTCTACCACAAAACTAGACTGTGTCTCAAGAGATTGTCAACTATTCCATACACAGTGTCTATTGATCAATAATTTGTGAAGGGTTTAGCACATGCCAGACCCTGTGCTCAGCACTGGAGATTTGAAGAAAAATTGGACATCAGTCTTGCCAGGTTGGAATCCACATCCTAAGGAAGAAAGCTATACCTGGACAGGAGGTGAATTCCTATCACAGAAGTCTTAATGCAGTGCTGGGGGAGATGAGAGTTGAGAAGGGGGAGCCCAAGACAGAATGGGAAAGTCTCTCAGAGCCTGGGATAACACCTGCTCCAAGATGTGACAGCTTAGTAAGAGGTCCTCATTGAGAGTCCAGGAGGAGACGGCTTTTGCAGGCAGGGGAATAGCATGAGTGAAATGCATGAGCACATGGAGGTACTTGATATATTTAGGGCATGAAAAGAAGGCTGATGACAACAGTCCTGAGCTAAGGGTACCACAGGGACAAAACATGACACAGAACAGGTTACTGGAGGACAGGTTCATGAAAGAATCTTAGGGTATATTGGAAAACAGATGGAGTATGAACACAGGATAGGTTTCCTGGATAAATCCTACTTGGCCATGATGGATTATCCTCTTTACATATTATTAGGTTGAATTTGCTAAAGGTTAGTAATGACATTTTGTGGTTATGTTCTGTAGGTTTCTTTATTGTAATGTCATTGTTTGATTCTGTTATCAAGATAATGCTAACCTCACAGGATAAATTGGAAGTGTTTCCTTTTTGTACTGGTTTGTATTGCTACTGTAACAAATGAGCACAAATTTTGTGGCTTACAGTGACAAAAATGTATTATCTTACAGTTCGTGAGGTCACAAGTCCAAATTGAATATTACTGGGCTAAAATCAAGGTCTTGACAAGGCTTGATTTCTTCTGAAGGCTCTAGAAGTGAATCTGTTATCTTGTTTTTGTTAGTGCTTTCAGACTGCCCCAGTTCCTTCACTCCTGGCCACTTCTTCCATCTTCAAAGCTAGCAGTATAGCATCTCCCAGTATCTCATTCATTCTCACTCCCACGTCCTACTCTTTCATTTCACTTGTGACTACCCAAGGCCCACTCAGAAAATGCCGAATCAGCTCCCATTTCATGATCCTTAACTTAATCACACGTAAAGTCCTTTTTTCCCATGTAAGATAAGACATTCGTAAGGCTGAGGGATTATAGGATGTGGGCATTTGTGAGTGATCATTATTCTGCCTGCCACACTCTTCACTCTTCTGAGAAGAGTTTGTGTAGGATTGGGAGGTAGTATTTCTTCCTTAAAATTTTGATAAAATTTGCTGATGAGGTCATTTGAGCCTGGAGTTTTTCTTTATGGAAAGATTTGTGGTTACAAATGCAATTTCTTAGGCCAGTGCCGTGGCTCACTTGGCTAATCCTCCACCTGCGGCGCCGGTACCCCGGGTTCTAGTCCTGGTTGCTCCTCTTCCAGTCCAGCTCTCTGCTGTGGCCCAGGAAGGCAGTGGAGGATGGCCCAAGTGCTTGGGCCCTGCATCCGCATGGGAGACCAGGAGGAAGCACCTAGCTCCTGGCTTCAGATCGGCGCAGCATGCTGGCTGTAGCGGTCACTTGGGTAGTGAACCAACAGAAAAAGGCAGACCTTTCTCTCTGTCTCTCTCTCACTGTCTAACTCTGCTTGTTTTAAAAAAAAACAAATACAATTTCTTTAATAGGAAGAAGACTGCATGCAAGATTATCTACTGCCTTTTGAGAGAGATTTGGTAGTTTATGCCTTTTGTGCCATTTCATTGAAGGTGCTGAATTTATTGGTGTAAAGTTATTGAAAATATTCCGCTATCCTTTAGATATATGGAATCTTCTGTGATATATATTCTATCATTTGTAATACTCATTATTTGTGTCTTTCTTTTTTATGCTTGTGATCAATGTGTGTAGAAGTTTATATATTTTATTAGTATTCTCAAAGAATCAAGTTTTGGTTTTATTAATTTTCTCACTTGATTTCTTTGTTTTTGTTTATTTATACGACTCAGTGTTACTTCCTTTCTTCTTCTTACCCTAAGTTTAATTTACTCTTTTTCTAGTTTCTTAAGATGAGAGCTTAGGTCCCTGATTTGAGCCTTGCCTTTCTCTTTCTCTCTTTCTCTCTCCCTTTCTTTCTCTCTTTCTTTCTTTCTCTCTTTTCTCTTTCTTTCTTTTCAGGCAGAGCTGGCAGTGAGAGAGAGAGACAGAGAGAAAGGTCTTCCTTTTCCATTGGTTCACACCCCAATGGCCACTGCGACTGGCACGCTGTGGCCGGCGCACCGCGCTGATCCGAAGCCAGGAGCCAGGTGCTTCCTCCTGGTCTCCCATGCGGGTGCAGGGTCCAAGGATTTGGGCCATCCTCCACTGCCTTCCCGGGCCACAGCAGAGAGCTGGACTGGAAGAGGAGCAACCGGTACAGAATTTGGCACCCCGACTGGGACTAGAACCCGGTGTGCCGGCGCTGCAGGCGGAGGATTAGCCTATGGAGCTGCAACTCCGGCTGGCTTTTCTTTTCCTTCCTTCCTTCCTTCTTTCCTTCCTTCCTTCCTTCCTTCCTTCCTTCCTTCCTTCCTTCCTTCCTTCCTTCCTTAACTTTTATTTAGTGGATATAAATTTCCAAAGTACAGTTTATGGATTACAATGGCTCCCCCCCATAACTTCCCTCCCACCTGCAACCCTCCCATCTCCCGTTCCCTCTCCCATTCTATTCACATCAAGAGTCATTTTTTATTATTTTTATATACAGAAGATCAATTTAGTATATATTAAGTAAAGATTTCATCAGTTTGCCCCCACACAGAACACAAAGTGTGAACTACTGTTTGAGCACTAATCATATCATTAATTCACATTGAACTACACATTAAGGGCAGAGATCCTACGTAGGGAGTAAGTGCACAGTGACTCCTGTTGTTGACTTAACAAATTGACACTCTTGTTTAAGGCATCAGCAATCTCCCCAGGCTCTAGTCATGAGTTACCAAGGCCATGGAAGCCCCCTGAGCTTGCCAGCTTTGATTGAGATCCCAGTGGAAAGAACGGGCCAGCAAAGAAGGAGGTACCTTTTTCTGAAGGGAGGAGAGAACTTCCACTTTGACTATGGCCTTGTTGAAATAAGATCAAAGTCTGCTTTTCTTTATTTCTAACATAAATGCCTTCATACTATACATTTTCCTCTAAGCCTTGTTTTTCACTGCATTTTATGATCTTTGAAATGTTGTGTCTTTGTGTTAGTGCAGTTCAAAATGCTTTATATTATCTCTTACGACCTCTTCTTTGACACACAGTTTATTTGTAGGTATGTTGTTCTAACTCTAGGTATCTGGGGAGTTCTTGGTTGCTGATTTTTTGCTTTTGGTGTTTTAAAAATGTTACTCCAGGGGCAGGTATTGTGGTACAGCAGGTGGAAAATGTAATTATACTTTGCATTGTTTCCTAAGAGAGGTCTCATGTCATTGTTGTCTTTGTTCCTTATATATGCTTTTTTTAAATATCGAACTTTTAAAAAGATTTTTGCTTTATCATGGATTTCAAACAATATGATTATGATGTTTCTTTATATACTTTCTATAATGTTTCTTTTTTAAAAAACTTTGTGTTCTTACAGTTTTTATCAAACCTGAGAACAGTTTTCTTGAAACTTTTTTTTTGTATCCTCCTCCCTGTATCATCCCTTCCGTTTTAGGGTCCCCAGTTACACAGGGGACAGACTGCTTAAAATGATTCCACAGATCATTGTAGTGCTTGGTTCAAGTTAGAGTTACAGAGACACAGAGGCAGAGGGAGAGCAGTCTTCCAACCGCTGGTTCACTCCCCAGATAACTGCAAGCAGCAGGTCTCCCATGTGGGTGCAGGGACCCAAGGACTTGGGCCATCCTCTGCTGCTTTCCCAGGCACATTAACAGGGAGCTGGATCAGAAGTAGAGCATCCAGGATTTGAACTGGCACCTATATGGGATGCTGGCGCTGCTGGTGGGATCTTAACCCATTGTGCCACAGCACTGGCCCCTATAAAGGCCTTCATGTCTCTCTTTATCATGCTCATGATTTCTGCTAACTCCTGAGATTACATAGTTACTTAACATAGTTATTTTAATGTCCTTGCTCAATAATTCTGTCATTTTAAAAAAAGGTTTATTTACTTATTTATTTATTTGAGAGGTAGAGCTACAGAGAGAAGGTGAGACATGGAGAAAGGTCTTCCACCTACTGTTTACTCCCCAGATGGCTGCAATGGCTGAAGCTGGGCTGATCCAAAGCCAGGAGCCAGGAGCTTCTTCTGGGTCTCCCATGTGGGTGCAGGGGCCCAAGCACTTGGGCCATCCTCCACTGCTTTCCCAGATTAAGGTTAGATTTCTTAAGGGGTCTGAATTTCAAAGTGCTATAGGACTCCAAAACTGGGTCCACTCACCCTGCCTGCAGCAAGTCAATAACGCACTGGAGAAGAAAATACCCTCCACTGGTAGGAGAAAATAGTTTATTTGCAATGCATAGAGTCAGGCAGCTGATGCTCAATTCCAGGACTCCCCCGAGGAATTCAGGGCAGAGAACCTCATCCATCAAAGTAGGGCTTGAGCAAGCATGAGCAGCTCATGTGTGGGCCTATGGTTGGTTCATGGAGCCCATGGTCTTTCTTGGATTGGCAACAGGAGGCTGTGTTCTTCTAAAGATGCTGTGATGGCATGGTGGGCCTGTCTGGGGTCTACAGGTAGTTTGGCTGTTACTTTGATCAGGGCTTGAACTTCCTGGAGAAAATCTCAAAATAGACTCTTGTGGTGGTGGGATTCAGCCATGGAGTCAGAAATTGAATTCTGAATCTTGCAGTCGGGAGTCCTGCAGGGCCAGCCTGAGCCTGAATTTAGTGAGTTAGTGTTTGGTAGAGAGTTGACTTGCATTTACACACAATGAAGACTGGGGAACTGCAAGCTAAGGGAGAGAGGCTGGAGCCTGATAAAGTCTGCATTGAAGGCATTAGGAATGGGACTTGGTTTCAAGAGGCGCCTCTGATCCAAAAGAATAATACCATGGTCACCAAAACCCGGAGTGTGGAAACCCAGAGTACATCAGAAGCAGGACACTAATCCCAATATGCCTCAGTCCTGTACAGTCAGATGCCTTGGGACTATAGCTTGTGTCACCTCCTGCTGAAAGCTTTACTAGAGGGGCCGGCACTGTGGCTTAGTGGGTTAAGCCACCATCTGTGGTGCCAGCATCCTATATGGGCTGGCGGTTCGATTCCTGGCTATTCCACTTCCTACCCAGCCCCCTGCCAATGTGCCTGGGAAAGCAGCAGAGGATGACCCAAGTCCTTGGGCCCTTGCACTCATATGGGAGATATAGAGGAAGCTTCTGGCTGCTGGCTTTGGATTGACCCAACTCCTGCTGTTGCGACCATTTTGGAAGTGAACCAGTGGATGGAAAAACTCTCTCTCTTCTGCTTTCTCTGTCTGTAACTATACCTCTCAAATAAATCTTTAAAAAAAGAAAGCCCTACTAGAATAAGGCAGGGGAGCCCCTGGTCACCACTGGATGCTGAGGCACTGACTTACCTTTGGGTCTAGTGACTCCACCTGCTCCTGGTCCCATGGCCATAGTGGATTGGCATGGTTTCCTTGAAGAACATTTCTGCCCACATTTCCAGGGAAACAGGCCTGAGCCCCATGGGGTCTCCTAGCACCCCAACATTAAACTCAAGGCTGAGAAATGAAGCCATCCTCCCCAGGCCTCCCTCCTGCCCTTCAGGGGTTATGCTAATCTCTGCAGTGGCAGAGTTAGGATAACTGGCTTTCTTTCCTTGTAGTCATTCAGCTTTTCTAAGAGGGAGGGACTCCCTTGAGATAAGAAATAGGGTCAGGCAGCTCCTTGTGCCACGGGGGACCTGGCAACCTGCAGGGCTGAGCATCACTGATGACTGCTCTCTGAGAAAAGAGACTGAATTGGAGTTATCAGGAGACTGAATCTCCTCCAGGCCTAGAATCCTCATTTCAAAGAAGATGACCAAATGGCCCAGCACATCTTTTCCTTGCATCTCTTCGGAATTCAGTATCATTTCTCTTCTGGCTTCTTTTTCTTGAAGGAGAGTCCACAGGAAACAGTGCCAAGGAGGTACAGTCAGAATGCGCCTCCCTGAGTGACGGTGGAGGCTTCTTTGTCAGGGCAAGCTATGGGTCTTCTGTCACGATGACCTATTATTGTAGTAATGCAGACACCAAGTGTCGTTTCGATGTACATTACATAGCCCGCTCTGTTGGCTGCAGGGTACAGCACAGCTTTGTCCAATACTTCTGTTGAATCAGCTGCAAAGCCCCGTACAGGTCAGGACACAAAATAGGTGTCCAGTAAATGCTCAGTGAATGAACAAACTATGAGAGTTCCGTTGTGTTCATGGACTTGGAATGGCCACATTTGTTGTGCTTGTCCTAGGTGAACGGCATCAACCACATGGCACAGTAAAGCTGCAAACAAAACTTCACCTGCCACAGGGAGTCTTCCAGCCTGGGGCAAGAACAAAGTGCAGAGTTGTAATGCCTACCAAAACAGGGACTCACAAGTTCCAGGAGAAAGAGCTCACTTAGTGTTGACTTCTTCCTCAAACAGGAACCTGTGGAAGCAATATTTGTCTGTTTTCTAATAAGCATGTTCAGAAACCTTTCCTACGATTGGGGAATTTTCTGCATTGTGAAACTCACCTCCCCTGGGGAAAGCCACACACTTGCTTTCCCACCTTCCTTGCAGCTAAGGCATATTCACAGTTTCAAATTCTGCCAATCGCAAACACCCATGGGAGACTTTGGAAGGAAAATAGCAGAGTCAGAAAAGAAGGGCTGTAACTCTTTTTTTTTTTTTTTCATGAGGGTGACTGTGGGGGCATGGGCTTCTGGGCTTGTAGGACCCAGTGCCAGGGGTGGGGGTTTTTGCTGGAGCCCAGCCACAGAGTGGTCTGAGTGTTGTCCCAGGTCATACAAGCTCCAAGCCTGGCCTCCTGGCCCTTCTGGAAATTTTTCTCAGCATATTTTAGTAGATTCTTTTTCTGCTTAAGGTAACCAAATGGGGGTTCTCCTATGTATAACTCCAAACCTGACTTTCCCACTTATGTGACTTTGTAAAATGAACTCGTTTGCTCTGAGATTCAAGGTATAGCCTCTGAAGAGTTGCTAAGTCAGGATGAACAAGCAAGCCTCAAACTTGCTGGAAGGGATGAGTAGAAATCTTACTCTGATTCTTTTGCAGAAAAAAGGGAATTTCATTCACACACTGGGAAATCACGGCAAACCTACCTCACTGTGTTGAAATGGGACGAATGCAAACGAAGGCATTGGGTGCTGTGTGTCTGGTCCTGGGTTCCTGCCTCCCTTCAGTCACAGTATTGATCCGGGCTCTGGAGGACTTCAGTGAGTCTCTGAGTTGGTGATTGCTAGCGGGCCTAGTGCATGTACTTGTAATGTGTTGGTCTTTCTCCATGTTCATTTGGGTTTTTATTGTTTACAAACTTCTTTTTGTATCAAGAGAAAAATAGCCAACGCATGTTTGACAGAAGGTTCTGCCCCAGGCAAAAGGATCAGAAATATAAGTTTGGTGGTGGTGGTGGTGGGGCTCTTCTTGAAGTGAGGGTTGTAAAACATTTTTTTCTTTTTGTGTTCTTCTCCTATCCTAGTTTGGATCTTTGATCCTTGAAACTTGACTCCTACCTTACCCTCTTCTCCATTCTCCCGTCCACAAAAGGAAACCCATAACACCCACACATAAAGGTTTAATTCTTGGGGTCTCTCCACAACTCTAAAGGATTCATGAAAAAATCCTGAAGAAAATAGGGAGCCCCCATCCCTTGTTCCCAACTTCCTGGGTCAAGACCATTTCTTGACATGATTCACGCCAAAAAACTTAAAGACACTGATGTATGTGGATGGATCAAACCTACTCAATCTGTATCCTAAAGAAGAGAAGCTATTGTGTAGAAAGTGGGGCTTGGGGGACTGGCACCGTGGTGTAGCTGGTAAAACTGCCGCCTGCAGTGCAGTCATCTGGTTTGAGTCCCAGCTACTCCACTTCCGATCCAGGTCTCTGCTATGGCCTGGGAAAACAATAGAAGATGGCCCAAGTTCTTGGGCCCCTGCACCCTTGTGGGAGACCTGGAAGAAGCTCCTGGATCCTAGTTTCGGATCAGCTGAGCTCTGGCCACTGCAGCTGTTTAGGGAGTGAACCACCAGATGGGAGATCTTTCTTTCTCTGTCTATCTGTCTCTCTCTCTCTGCCTCTGCCTCTCTGTAACTCTGCCTTTCACATAAATAAATAAATCTTTTAAAAAAAGAAAGAAAGTGGGGTTTGGAGAGCAAGAAGGGAGCTGTGGATAGACATCCAAGTCACTCAGGAACTTTTTTGCAGTCGCAAGAAACTTACATCAATATGGCCACAAGATTGTTTGATAGGAGACCAGTGAATGTAACTCCATGTTTACTGCTGGAAACCAAAGCTTTGTATGAAATCTTGAATTTATGGGAAGCAGTGTGGGAGGGGTAAGCGGTGTCTGTTCTTTCTCTGACCCCTTCCCCTCATTTCTGAACAACAGGAGACTAAGCCCCTGAGTTTGGGTTACCCCATCACTGGGGCGGGTTTATTGGAAGGCTGATCTTTGCTGTGCAGCATACTTCCTTTCCCATTTTCTGATTGCTCTGTAACACCTATGCTGACTCTCCCTGACTCTCTGCTTTCCCTGGGAAAAGACAATGAATAAATCAAAAAATAAAATAAAAGCTTCCATGCAGTTAATGCTGGAACAAGTCATGCTAGTTTGCTCCTCTGCCTGCATCATGGTTCCAGTGAGCACACATGGATCCCCAAGCCAGTGTGCAGTCATCCCAGGCCTTTCCTCCCTCTCAGTCCCAAACTTCCAGAACGTGAGCTCCGTACTATTGCAGAAGTCCTTGTCCTCTCCATCCCCCAGCTACTGACCCTGCCAAATCCACAGTGCCAGTTCTCTGCCTCCAGCCCCTGCACGGTTCAGGCCGTCTCCCATGCCACCAAATTTCACCAGGTCTCTGTCCTTTCTGGGCTGAAATCCTTCAGGGTCACACTCTGGTCCAAGTTCCTATGAGATCTCAGACACGTGTTTTCAACTCAGCCGCCACAGCTCGCTCATCACCCGCGTGTCTCCAATCACCAGGTTCTCCCTGCTCTCTCTTGGTGAAATGTCCTTTATCACCTCATGCAGTTAGCACCCTCCTACTTATCCTTCAGGATTTGGTGAGAATGTCACCAGCTCTGGGGAACAGGCTCTCTGCCACTTCTGGCAGAGCATGGTACCTCTTCTCTGTGCTACCAAAGCACCTCTCTCTCCTTTCTCATAGAGCACTTACCATGTTGGTGTGGTTATTGGTTTGCACACGTGTCTTCCCACTAGCCTGTGAGGATGGGAGGGGTGAGGATGGGAGGGATGGGGGTGCATCTCCAGGCCTGGGGACAGTGCCTAGCACTTAGCTAGTTGATGCTTATGAAATTGATTAGTTAATCAGTAGTAAAAGCAAGTGCAGGAGCTAACCTTGAATCTAATCTAAGACATTGGTATCCTGTGACCCCAAATTGAGGCTGTTATTAAATAGTAAGATTCTGGTCTTTATAGCTACCGCCGTGCCCTCCCCAGTGGGCCACGTGCATCCCTTAGGGAATCTCTTACTGTACAGGCAGCCTAAAGGCAGGCACAGAAAAGGAAATGAAGCACCTCTCATTGACAAACACCTAGGTGTCTGGCATAGTAATTAACACAGAGCTCACTAATAGTTAGAGAGTAATTAATAGCTAAATGTTGCATTTAACAAAATGTTTTGCCCCTTTTCTACCCAAGCAATGATTTTCAGTTGAGGATGCTCAAAATGGCTTGAAATGGGAGGAAGTCACTCCAGACACCACCTGTATTTAAAAGGCAGTGCTCCTTGTGGGCGGCATTCATTGCTATCGTTATTAACCTTGATGGTAGCGCCAACCTTTACCGAACCCCCGCCAGCCGCGGTAAAGGCACAGCATGGAAGGCAGGCCCACTTTCACAAAAATCTCTTATGTGAATATGAATTCTGCTTGCAAAGCAAATGAATTTAGAGGGAGGCAGGTGATCATTCACAATCCAAAAAGACCCTCTGCTGTACAAAAGGATCTCCCACAGGGCTCTTTTAAATAGGAGACTCCTTAAGAGCACTTAAAATATCATTGAGTTTATAAGGAATCAATTAAGAGCTAATTCTTTCAGAAACCAATCTATTGCACACTGGGGGTGTAGCCACCTTTAGAACCGCAGCTCCAGTCTTTGTCTCGCCATCAGCCTCTGTCAGCCACCCATATACAGCCACACCGTGCAAAAGAAAGTGCCCAGGCAGGGTGAGGAGGCCTGGGTCTGAGTCTGGTTTTTGGCCGTCCTGGCTGGGTAAGTGCTAGCCTCAGTGTTCTCAACAAAAAGTGAGAGCAACCACCTTCAGGTAAGCAGTGAAAAAGGGGAACAGTTGTTCATTTGTGTGCTCAGTTATTTTTGTTCTTTGTTTTCCCTTTTTTTACTGGGGGAGGGAAATGCCATAACAGTGTGCCACAAATTGGCTTAAACAATACAAACATATTGTCTTGAGGTTCCGGAGTCCTGATATCTGAGATCAAGGTGTTGGTGGGGGCGATTCCATTTGGAGGTGGTGCCATGCCTCTCTCCCAGATTCTGGTGGTTTGCTGGCAATCACTGATGTTCGTTGGCTTTTGTTTTGCCAACCCAGTCTCTGCCTGCATCAGCATGCGGTGTTTTCCCTATGTGCACATTCAGCATGACCCCATCCTCATGAATGACCCTGCCATGATCCTATTTCCAAGTCTCACTGTGAGATGCTGAAGATTCTAAGTTTAATATCCAGATTTTGGTGGGGGACACCATTCAAACCATAATGACTCATTATTGCTGTGGCCTAAGTCATGGAAATGACAGCTAGGCTTGCTAGATGTTTTGTTTTTTCTTGGCTAAGATGTTGCCAAGCAAAGGATATTTTTATAGAAACCACAGCAAGCCACAAAGAGAAGTTTTGGACATAGGAATTCAGGTGACGGGGATGTTATAGCAGACAGCAGACTGGGTTGCAACAGCAGCACCAGTGGCAGTTTTCTTCTTCCTGACATCTTCTTTTATCTTTCCTCTTTGGGAGAGGGAGTGCATTCCTCAGGGCTTTGGTTACATCCTCCTTGTCACACTGGGGAGGACGAAGGAGGCCTGGCAGCCTATTCTTATCATGACTCACTTGTGCAGGAAAATTTCTCGCACCCTGTGGAACCAGGCTTCTGCCAGATGGAGACAGAGCTCTTCCTCTCGGGGGTTCTGCTAAATCAGCCACAGAACAATGAGTGTGATGTCCAATATGCTCCAGAATAAGCCAACTGATTCTGTGGTTCTATCGATCCTGTCACCATTGTCTTGCTGAAGGCTTAGAGGTCAGAGACTGAAGAAATGACTTTGGAAGTTTTAAAGTCAGCGATACATTGTTAAACTCTGGCTCTTGACCCCTCCTCCACCCCACAGATCCTGGATATTGGGGGGTGGATTCATTATAGTAATGGCTCCATTTGATCTCCTTGGACCATGCATTTGATAATTCCCCTTCATATTGCCTTTTTTTTTTTTTTTTTTTGACAGACAGAGTGGACAGTGAGAGAGAGAGAGAGAAAGGTCTTCCTTTGCTTTTGGTTCACCCTCCAATGGCTGCCGCAGCCAGTGTGCTGCGGCCGGCGCACCGTGCTGATCCGATGGCAGGAGCCAGGTGCTTCTCCTGGTCTCCCATGGGGTGCAGGGCCCAAGTACTTGGGCCATCCTCCACTGCACTCCCTGGCCACAGCAGAGAGCTGGCCTGGAAGAGGGGCAACCGGGACAGACTCCAGCGCCACAACCAGGACTAGAACCCGGTGTGCTGGCGCCGCAAGGCGGAGGATTAGTCTAGTGAGCCGCGGCGCCCATATTGCCTTTTGATGTAGCTTTGTGTCTTGCATTGGCCATGGAGAGAAGCTTGAAATGTGTTTATGTTTTAGGGCGTGTCCTCTTGCAACCTCTGCTACAGCCGATGCCACCTAGTGATCAGGCTCAAGGAAGCCTGCTGAAGGATGAGACACCATATGGAGCAGAGAAACTCCATCCCAGCTGAGCCATCCCAAGCTGGCCAGCCCCCAGTGAAACTGCTGCCAATCAGAGTTTCAGGAGGGGGTCCAGCTGGTATTCACAGAGTCTGACCCAGGCTGGCAGAATCGCCCAACTGAGCTTGCCCAAGTTGCAGATTCTGAAATTTTTGATCTAAAATAAATTCTTTGGGCTATAAACCACTTGGTTTTGAGGTAGTTTGTCATGTGGTTGAAGCTTACTAACAGAGATATTTTCCCAATGGCT